TCGGCGCGACAGCCATGTAAATGTAAATGAAGCCGCGATCATTTAAATCGCGGCTTCATTTGACTTTGCCTATGTGTCTAATCTACATGCCTCTGCCGACAGAGGCATGCAGTCTAGACACAGCCTTAGTCTCCTCTTTTCCAGGCTGGAAAGTCCCCGTCTTTTTGAGATACTAGTAAGGAGGAGAAAGCGAAGTAAAGGAGGGAACCCTCCCTTAGACGTCCAGAGAATACGCAATTAACCAGCCCCCATGGGCAGAACGTTTGATACGTTCCCCTCAGTCCTGCGGCACAGCTAGATGGGCCCAGTCTCTGGAACGCCCAATCCTATCTAAGCCCATGGCAGTGTGGTCGTGGAGTCTCGCTCTCTCTCTTCTTGCTCGAAAGTGGCCTCCGGCGGCAAAGCTACGCCAGGCCCAGCCCTGGCTGTGAGAAGCAGACTCTTAGGAGACATCGGTACCGAGAGAAATACTCACCACAGCGCCGACGGGTCCGGGAGTGCCTCTTTCACCGGGTTTGCCGGGCTCACCCTGAGAAAGGGAACGAAACAGCTTCAGCGAAGGTGCTCGGGGGGCCCCGGGACAAGGGGCTGGGGGCTCCGGGGACGACCGCCTCTTGCATGGCCCTCGCAGGCGGCCGCGGGAGGGCCTGAGAGGCACCATGGCGGGAAGCCGGCCCGGCTGACCCTGTCGTCGTTCTACTGATGCTCTAGTGAACCCCCACAAGCTCCGTCTTGCCTCAGGGCTGCCGTCTCCTCTGGGCAGCCTGTCTCCACCCCCAGCGCCCTCCCAGGGCGATGGGATGTCCTGGGGTGGCCATTTTCTCACCACCCTATCGCTGGGCTGGGGGGCTGACCCAGCAGCGGCAGGGTTGCCCGGTGCAGGGGTATACTCACAGCAGCACCTTTAGGTCCAGGGAAACCCATCACGCCAGCCTGACCTCTGGCACCGGGAGGGCCGGGGGGGCCGGGGCGACCGTCTTGGCCAGCGGGACCCTAGTGAGGAGGAAGCAAAGGCCCGGCTCAGGGGAGGCTGCAGGGAGCAAAGGGGGAGGAGGAGGAGGAGGCGTGTGGAGAAATCGTGACTTACAGTGGGGCCAGTCTTGCCATCGGGTCCTGGGCTACCGGGGCTTCCAGTCAGACCCTGAAAAGCAAGAAGAGCTGGGCTGAGCCATCGGGCGTCCGGCTGGGGGCAGGGACAGAAGAGGGTGGAGGAAGCCGCTCTGAGCCGGCAACACGGCAGAGCGCAGGCACCGGGGCAGGACGGGGGGGGGCGGAGATGGCAGATACAGCAGCAGGGCTCGGCGGGATCCCGGGGCAGCCCCTCCATCCCGCTCGGACCCACGCTCTCACCTTGGCACCGGGCAGACCAGGCTCTCCGGGACGTCCAGATTCACCAGGGGATCCTTTGGGGCCAGCAGGGCCGGGGGAGCCACGTTCACCAGCGGGACCCTGGGGGGAGGGGAGAGCGGTTACAGGCTGCGGAGGCCCATGACAGAGGGGGAACACGCGGGGCGCTGGATGGGCACTGCCGGGCTGGCCCTGCGGGGTGTGTCTCGTGGCAAGGAAGTCCCAGGGCTGTGCACAGGGGACAGCCTAGGTGCCACGGGGAGACAAGCCACGTCCCACCCCCAAATCCAGGGTGCAGGGTGGATCGGGGAGCGGCTGGGGCTGGACCAGGTCCCAGAAAGTCTCAGTAACTCCCCCTCCCACATGCACTAGCTGCTCCCCAGGTGGGGGGGCTCCAGACCCCTTGTGCGGCCATTGGGGCCTCTTCTCTCGCCCAGCAGGAGGCCAGCACCTACCTTAGGACCGGCAATGCCATCAGAGCCAGGGAAACCGCGGCTTCCGGGGGCGCCCTGCAATGGGACACAAGAGACAGCCGTGGGTCAGAAGCCCGTGCAGCCAGGGATCGCAGTGGAAAGGGGGCACCCCAGAACACCCCGTCCCAGGGCCGGCAGTGGGTAGGAACAGGCCCTCGCTGACGGGGCGGGTTGGGGCTGGGTCGGTGTCCGACCTCCCGCAGCCTGGGCCTGTCTCGAATTTGGGGGGTCTCAGGCCAGGCCCGAATTTGGTCCGGGGTCCAGGCCTGAGTTTCCCATCCCAAGGTGCAGGAGGCCTTGGCTCACTGCGGAGATCGGCCGGGACCCCTCCGTGTCCTACAGGCAACAGGACTCAGCTCCAGGCCGACGGGCACGAGCGACTGCTACTTACACGTTCGCCAGCAGGGCCGGGCAGACCAGCGGGGCCGGGCTCTCCGCGGGACCCTCGCTTGCCTTCTTCGCCGGATGGACCAGGGGGGCCTTGGACACCAACAGGACCCTGGCGAGCGCAAGCGAGGCAGAGGGGTCAGAGGCAGCTTGTGGCTGGGAAAGCAGCCCAGGAGGGCCGGTACTTACAGGTTCTCCCTTAGCGCCAGCATCTCCCTTGTTGCCTGGAGCACCAGGTTCACCCTGCAGGAAGGAGGGAGAAATCGGTCAGTGTCAGCGGGCTCCTTGCGTGAACCAGGCCTGAGCGCTTCTTGCCCTCCACGCTGCCCCCTCCGCCCCTTTCGGCTCCAAGGGGGAGGGCAGACGCAAAGCTCCTCCCCGCAAAGGGTACTCTGGAGACAGGCTGGCTGTGCCCAAGGTCAGAGATCCCCGTCCTCGGGCGGAGGGTGGGGGGCAGGGTTCCCAGTCAGCTGAGCGCTTGGGCGGCTGCCCATGAGAGATTCCAGGGCCGCAGCGCCCACAGCCGGCAGCAGGGATGCCTACTGGTGGTGCCCATCTGCACATGCGTCAGTGCACACATTTATTCTGCACACTCGTGGAACACCTCAGAGGGAACATTGCTGGCACGAGGGGTGGGGGTGGGCAGAGATGGCAGATGTCTCCAGCTGCCAAGGCGGGCAGGTGGCCAGGGCGGAGGAGAAGGCCCTCGTAGAGGGCTCCATGGAGGAGCCGGGCGGGGGCGGGATGTGTAGTGCGCTGGGGTGCCAGGGGCAAAGATCAATCACAACACGCCATGGGCTCCCTCCCAGCCCGGCGCATCCCTGCCTGGCCCTGGAGGTGACGAAGGCCGAGCTGAGCCTGACGCAAAGGGGCAGCAGGAAGGACACTTACGTTGTTACCCTTGGGGCCGGGGGCACCGCTGGGACCCTGGGGGCCGGAGGGACCACGAGCACCGGGGAAGCCGGGAGCGCCAGCAATGCCAGGAGCACCCTAGAGGAGGCAGAAGGGTCAGTGAGGCAGCGTGAGAACCAGTCTCCCGTGAGCCGACCCACCCGGAGGGGGAGCTGGCTACTCACAGTGGCACCTTTGGCACCAGGTTGTCCGTCGCTCCCAGGGTTGCCCTAGGAGAGAGAAGAGAAGAGGGGTTATCGCCGGGGGCGACTGGGCAAATGGGAGAGGCCAAGAGCACCCTAGAGGAGGCAGAAGGGTCAGTGAGGCAGCGTGAGAACCAGTCTCCCGTGAGCCGACCCACCCGGAGGGGGAGCTGGCTACTCACAGTGGCACCTTTGGCACCAGGTTGTCCGTCGCTCCCAGGGTTGCCCTAGGAGAGAGAAGAGAAGAGGGGTTATCGCCGGGGGCGACTGGGCAAATGGGAGAGGCCAAGAGCCGGTGCGCCCCGTGGCGCTGGGAGCCCCCCCACGCGCGCCCCCAGGCCTGACGGGGCCCTGCCTGGAACAGACAGCTCTGCTGCTCCAACCTTCGGGGGGGCCTGGTGCTGCCCTGCTCTCGCCTGGTTCTCCAGGGGCCACACCTCGGCCTCGAGATGCCACAAGGGCGTAGCCGGGCTTGGGGGCTTGCTAGGCCCAACGGATGGGCCTGTTTTGGAGGGCTCTGGGGCCGGGCCCCATCTCTAGCTCTCCAGACACCTGGACAGCCAATGGGAACTGCAACGCACCCTTCGGTTCCAGACTAGGACCAGAGCCGGCCACGGGGAAAGCTCCTACCACAGCCATCCGGTCTTGCCCTTACCTTAGCACCGACAGCTCCGGGGAAGCCAGGGGGGCCAGCGGGGCCAGTTGGACCCTAGGTGGAGAGGCAAGCGAGTTAGAGAGTAGCCAGCCTCCGGCAGGCGGGGTCTTGTCACTAGGCGGCGTGGCCCAAGCCCCGG